CTCCATGGTTATCGCCATCCATAATGATTTCGATATCATAAATAAGTGGTTCGTCTAATGGCAAATTCTTTCAAACTCCGTCATTCTGTTAAACTTCCACAGGACTGGAGATCTATTACCACACGGGCTGAGCTGTCCTATCGAAGCAACCGAAAACCTTGGCCCCAGAAAGGCACAGGACGCGCCCGTCATGGCAATCGCCGCACGCATATTTGGATCGGTGGTGGACAATGCAAAGGACCACGGGGACCGGAATCATTTTTTAGTGTCCTTCCTCGTGATGTCCGCGTAAATGGCTTAGTGTCAATGCTTTCCATAAAACATGCTCAGGTGAGACCCACGGTTATGCGCAAAAACAGCGAAAATGTGTTTCACATCTTATTATCTCAGGCCAGCTAACTGTGTTAATGAAAGTGCTATATCTCATTATCCATGTTTAATCGACGCAATGTTTTCTGTTAGTACACACTTTCGTGTGATGAACAGCAGACAGGGGAAACCCCATGGTCACGAAGACCCGCTGTTCAGTGATGGAAACCGGTAACCTAGCCCCAGGACTTGGAGTGACGAACTGCGTAAGGCCCCGTTAGGTCAGGCGTTCCAATTCATTCCGTTTGGTAGCGTTTGGGCCCATTGGTAAGAATCCTGAATACTAGGATCTAAAGATCCTAAAAGTATTCAACACCACGTACACACACTTGATGCCATTGGAAAAATTGACAGCTGTATATTTCTGATAAATATGGTTGCTTTCCGTAGAATCGCCGTCACAATTTGTCTTTAGTGGGTTTCGACAGGACGGTACTATAACCCATCTATTCTCCTCCCCGGGGGTGGGATAGAGCTCCTCTAATTGAGTAGAGTTACCGGTATGTCCTTGCCCGTTTAAAGTGTGTGAGTAATGCAAACTGTGCTGAAATCCCTGTCCTCCAAGTTAGCTCGGTATGGTGTACATGTTGATCCATCCAACTGTAGAGAGCTGACCATCACTATCGATGTACCGGACTGTTTTGTTTACCTCAGATTCAGATTATAAAGCCATTGACCATACACTTTCGTGCGCCGGTTTCGGTTGCTGTCTTTTGGCTGCCCATTTAGATGAAGAATAGGACAAGACAGGAAAGTTGAAAGTAGAGTCGAACAGGAGACGAAGAATTTCAGTGGCCTAATGTTGAAGAGAAATTGAAAAGATGCACGAACGCCACTGTTCACGACACAGCCATATCACTCAGTGTCTCTAACCATGTATTACAATCATGCTAAGGTCCCCAACCGGGGAGCCTAATGGGACCAATATGACCCAGTCCGTCATCATCATTGTACAGCGCAATACAATGAAGCGAACTTCACTGATCGCCACCAAACTCATATTTCACACAAGATAAGTGAGAATGTGTAAGGAGGATAGGGATTGGACTTAATTTTAGGGACGGGAAAAGAAAGCGAACCTCCATGGTCAACACACAGTACAGTCCAACTGTGCATACATACTATTTCAAGCATTCTGGACTGATAAGATGTGACAGCATAATCGCTATTGCTGTCGGTTCGCAGTCATGACCTTCACTGTCTCCAACGTTGAGGTTTCGGAGTCTTTTGAACCCCAACCCGGAAGACACCTACTTTACTTAATCGCCCTGTGCATTTCTTCATGCCTCGTCTCCACGTCATTTGCTGGCCTCTACGTGGCTTTTTCCAGTCTGCAACAACCACTGCGAATAAGGTGACCGTTGGATATACGCAAAACGTGTCCTAACCAACTGAGCGTATTGAGCTGGAATCAATGCGATAGCGAGTTCGTGTTCGATGCCTTCCCAAATAACCAAAGACTTACTTCTAAGTTACTAACCCGCTAACTCCATGCCACTTGGGCCAGAGTACGTAAGCATCGACTGTCGAAAACCACCAGGCGACGGATATCTTCTACCCGCAAATTCAACGTCTCAACCGTAAAGCAGAACTGATCGCACAGTGGCATAGTATATGCGACTTTTCAACTTCAGTAAAACGTCACGTCCCCGCCACAGATGTTTCAGTCCTGCATACTCTGCTCGAGTCTTGGAAATGCGGGCGGTTATCTCCTTTGATGAGCTACCGTCGTTTGTCATGCAGCTACCTAAGTACGAGAATCAGTCAACTACATCTAATTCTTGACCGTCTAGTTTCAGAGCAGAGCTCGGCAACACCCAGTCCTGTAGCATCACTTCGCACTTTGAAGGTGCCAAGCATATGCCGAACGGAGCGACTGAACTTGGTAATCTGTCAGTTGCCCTTTGTGCATCATCCATACATTCAAACAAGCAGACGATGTCGTCAGTGTACTCCGAATTGCATAGCTTTTCTCCAGCTACTCATTCAATACTTACATTTTGGAGACCACTTACTGCGTTCTCCAGCATTTCGTCTATGACGGAATTGAACAGGGATGGCGAAATAGGGCACCCTTGACGAACACCGCTGCTAGTTACGAACAACCTGCTCAGCTCAACTTAGATCCTTACGCTACCAGAAGTATGCGAGTAGAGTGAACTCGTTATGTTTACGTACTTCTGCGGCATTCCCACAAGGGATTTCCCTGGTTCAGGATTTCATACCCTCATATCAAGGCGTGGTCTGTGTCCACAGGTGTTGACCATTAAGAGCGGAATCGATCCTGTTCAGCGGTAACTGAAGGCGATGTGGTCGGTTTGGGTCCGGCGCTGTGACGAGGTTGGCGGTCTCCATGTAAGGCGGTGTAGTTTTTTGTGCGAGAAGTTCGTGCTTGACAAAAACTGTCCGTAGTCGGGGCAGAGTTGAAGTAGGCGATCCCTGTTGTCTGTCCGGCTCGCTGGGATTGCACGTGGTCCGCCATTAAGCCTTTCTGAGAGATCCCATTTGAGCGTTGAAGTCCCCAAGACTACTGCGACGTCCGTTGATCGAACACTTTGGAGCAATTGAGAAAGGTCCTTGTAGAATTCATCCTTCATTTCTGGCAAACTGCAGTCGGTTGGAGCATACACCGAAACGACGAACAAACATCAACGCTTCATTCTGTAGCTGTTGACCCGCGCTGAACCGTTCAAACGTACGGCGCATAGTTGGCTACTGACAGGAATCCAGTCGAGAAGCACGCATTCAGCCGTGGCACTTAGCGTAATCCCAACACCAGCGACACCGCGAGCCTTAGATGCCGAATCGCAGTGGTTTAGTCGCTGTCGCCGGCGTGCTTTGGACCCTATGGTCCGAGGTTCCAGCCCCGCCACCTGACTTTGGTGGTAGGTAGCATTGCTGTCGTCCGGTTCAATACCACACTTAACCTATATGACCGTATATGGTTCACCACTCCAAGTCCAGGGGCTTAGGTTACCGGTTTCCATCACTAAACAGCAGGTCCTCGTGACTATGGGATTCCATCCCGTCTACTGCCAACAGGCATGTGTAATAAAAGAAATAAAAAAGCTTGCTACATCACATCCAGTACTACTTGAATTTTATGGATACCATTGATCTGACAAACAAAAGTTTTGCGCTGATCCGTTTTCACACAGGATGACCTCCACATTGTAGACAATTTACAGTTGTCTCCGGCTCTTGAACAAGAAGCTATAGAGGTTATCAAACTGGCAATGGAAGCACAGCCGGACGAGTCAGTCGCAGACGATCCATTGTCCGCAATTCATCGGATTCGAACCCATCGACTTACCAAATTGATGAATGATGCTGCAAGCTATTTGCGTCAATTGATCGATCAACGTAAATGGGGTCCATCTGTCCTATTCGTAACGAGGTAAATCAGTTACTGCACACGTAGTGGCGTCTCTTTTTCCAGTTGTTTTCATTATTGTTTGAATACGGATTTATTTTCAGGCGTTGTTGCACACAGAGTTCCATGGATATCACTCAATCGCACTTTTATCTATTACAATGAGATACGTTACACTATCTGGTTGTCAAAACGAACGGGTAGAACTTCTGGGAAGATACTTAGCTGAAGAGGTTGCCACTGCGTTGTTCTAATTTTTGTTTCATATTCTAAGGAGGTGAATCCCATCGTCAAGGAGATGCTGTTAACGGGGGAGGAGGTTGGGAGAGAATCAAATAAAAACTGATCTATTGTTTCTGCCTTCACGGGTTGTTCCCACAGTTCGACACTCTTCAGGAAAAAAAATTCAACTTGAACAGAACAACTCCTTGGTATGGGATAGGTAAGTCAAAGTGAGATAAACTGCCTAGACTAGCTTCAAAATACATAGAAGCAAAAATATTAACGAGTGGAAAGCATCTATCCTACGGGCTAGTGACTGCAGATTGGAGGTTCCATAAGACTTGACGATAAGCCGGACAGCTTTACGTTGATCCCGGTGAAAAAGAGAAATCACAAAACTGGGTTAGATGCTACTTAACCGCATCAAACGTGACCTGATGGTCTTTGTAGAATATTTAACTATAAGTAGTATGTGAATAACTGGACAAAATTTCCCTGGAAGCACACGACCAGTTTCACGGTTCTTGCCGCTTGTCAGGCATACGTATCCGGTAATCTTTTGTCAGTTCATTCATATACTTGTACCCAGAAAGTGTATTTTCGTCACAACAACCTTGTTTGCAACACCGGGGGAGGGGAGGAAAGCCTGGGACACGGTCTCACAGACTATGACGGAAATGGTCCACCTATGGAAGAAACTGTCTCTACAGTTCAATAACCGAAGGAAATGCGAGTATGGGTAGTGCCATAGGCAGACCTCCGTCTTATAGCTGTCTGTCTCTTATTGGCCTTCATTTAGTATTGATTATAACGTGTCATGATGAGAACAACTACAATAGGATTTCTTAAGCACTAAAAATAGTAGAAAGCTGTTTTTCAACTGAATAAATAAATCGTCCACCGATTTCTTTTATTTCTTATCTATTATTTAGTGACTCTATCGCACCTGCTCCTTCGGATTCAATCGAAGACAGTTTTTCTCAACTATTGAACAAGCCTAAACCCGATGGATTGGCGATCTATCTGGCATGCGCATCCTATGCCAATCACATTGAAGCCGAGCTATCACCGGAAGCAATTAGTCACCACATAGAAGCAGTCGCACCACGTGCAACTCACCCCGGACGGGGTCTCACACTGATGCCCCTACATGGACTGAATGTGTGGTCTTTAGTGCAGCACAACACAGTGGTTTTTTCAACCCAGTGCCTGGAACTGCTCGAAAATCGCCTATTGACTGTCATGCGAACAATCCACCGGGACAAGGCGGTCCAAGAGCCAGATTCGTTGTTCCCCGGCACACTGGATCGTGGAGAATATGAAGATGATGCTGATGAGACGGAACCAACTACTAATAGGCATTTCCCTGAGCCGCCAATCCCACTGCACTGGAAGAAGATCAGTCTTTCGTAACTGCACATAATTTAAGTCTGTCGCTGGGTGCCACGTAAATATAATCTTCCTTTGTAACAATCCTTTTGCTACCCCGTGGGTTTCGCTTTCCAAGTAACATGGTTTGTCTATCGCTTATCGAACGTCAAACTGAACAAGAATTTTGTAGTAGTAGTTTCATGTATCTACATGTGCCGTTGTGATCTATGGTCGCAGTTCGTCCCACAATCGCGTAGAATGTTGTCAAGCAGACGACAGTTGAAAGTGACTTCCAAGACTGTTCTTAGTGACTCCAATATCATAAATAATTGTATCTTAACTTGTTCTATTCAATGAATAATTTTTAGGAAGAGAAAAAGAGCTCCTAGGTGACATACAAAGGTAAGAAGTTTAGGTGGCGATGAATGGGGCCTAACAGATCAGTCCCCATTCAACCTCAGCCAATCATACAATCAAATAACAGATCCTTGTGGTGACACTCAGTGTCGCTAACCATTAATTACTATGATCCCGAGGTCCTCATCCAGGAATAATAATGGTATCAATCAACTAAAACGAGGAAGAACGAATGTAGTGAACGACCTCAGGGAATCAAGTTCAATCCACGGGAATTGTTTCATCGTGACAGCAACGGTTTCTAGTGGTTGCGCACTCGTTGCAGTGTATGGCTGTTACTATTCCCCATTCTTCTGAATGGTGTTTCTAAGCCACGCAAATTGCCACTAGTTCGTTTCTCTCACCCACAAGAGATAAACTTTTATGTTATCCGACAGACCAGGTCGAATTGCCCGAGTCAGTATTCCTGTGTTGCGGAAGTCCTTTAACATGGAACAGTCAGCATCCATTCAGAACGTGAAGGTCTAAGGAACAAACTAATGAACTATCAGCCGCATAAATATTTTAAAAAAGTCGTAACTGCAAAGTAAAATAGATTTTTCTGTTGCTGGATCTGTACAACTGTGGCGGTAGATTCGTCCATCCTCAGTCCACGTCCTCCATGTGGAGCGACTCTTCGGACTCGATGTCGTCATCTCCTGCTTCGGGGTCGGAAGACTCCTCATCTTCAGAGCTTTGCGATTCACTTTCTGAGTCCCGGTGGATATTGCGGTATCTGCAAGGAAGTATGGATGTATCAGGCTGAGGGCTCATCGTATTCATCTCGACTGCATCAAAAATGATGCGAGCAAACCTGGTTACAAAGGCCGCATTAAAACTCACCTACTCGTGCTAATACTTGACCGACGAAAAACAAAACTTTCTTAATATGGCGGGCAGTTTTTTTATGATATCGTCGATTTACGTGGACATTCGCGACACCACTACGCGTACAGGTTCCTTTCACCTTGGTTCGGATCAAATGAAATCGGATTATTCTAATGCTAGTTCGCAGTGTCTCGAATTTAAAATATCCTTCGGGTTCGGATCCTCGTGCATGGTGATGATCCGCAAATTAGGACGAAAACAGTCCTACAGTGCTGTTTCTTGATGAATAACGTGTGAGTTGTGCGAGACGAATCTACCCTTGCACAGAACAGAACTAACAAAACTTTCGTTCTCACAATGCTCATTTCATAAAGCGTTTACTGTTTCCAACGGATTCCGAGACGATGTGAGTATCAACACATTTTAGTGAATTGCAGTCAAACACACCTTTTTGTTTACCTCATTGGAAGCTTTGATACTAAACAATAAAGGGTGGAAAACACTGACAAATGTCTACTCATAGCGCGCTCGAGAGGTACTTTTATCGAGAGCACTTCCATTGAACTTACCGATACAGCTTTTCGGAATCCGGGGGAATAGTTGGATAACTGGGAAATTCACGATTCATTCGAGCCTCCTGTGAAGAGAAAGTACAACACACACGATGGACTACCGCGAAACAGAAAAAGCATGGAACTGGAAACGATCATGCGAAAGACCTCGTGAGAGCAAATCGCTTGTACCTGATATAACAGCCCTAGAAACGAAAGACCTACTTGGTAAGCTTTTTGTGCTTTCTGCATCAATTCCATGGATTCTTCAGCGGATAAGATCCGTGGTTGACGTGGGGCTTCCGGATAAAACAAGGTGTTACCCCCAGCAACCCAAGCGTGTACACGCGTGGGATTGTCGACCACGGGGAATGATGCAGCATGCGTTGGTAGAATGCGACGGACGGACGATTTGGGCTTGGATTTATCTTCACGGTAATGTTGATTGTGTCTGTCCATGTGACTGAATAGGAGTTAAATAGGATCCAATTCAGTTTTACGCAGTCATGCATCGATAGTGCAGTGAGTGAATGACACATTTGAAATCGAGTATACCGCTTAAAATATAGATAGAAACAGCCAATTTCTGGAGGGAAAGAGAGAAAGGAATGGAGTCCTAGCATGACATTTTAACAACTTTTTAGAAGACTATCGCCTACACATTTACGAACGAGACATTGGCATATTGTAACGAGTACCCGACGACGCTGATATTGCACAGTTTGCGATGAAAACGTGTGGGCTTGAAAAAATCAAAGATCACAACACGCCCGGGGATAAATGTAAAACGAACCCGTGAATACGACGGAAATAGGTGTACAAATCTTGTATCACTTGCAAATCGTCCGTAACAAACGGCTTTGTTCCGTTGCCCCCGTTTTCGCAATATGTATCGTGCAGCTGAGACTTGGCTGTAGACGGGGGACAAAATCGAAATGCCAACAGGCCGGCAAATCCATGCCATCCGGTAAGACCGGCCAAACGACTAAGTCGTGTTCGTCCCAGGCCAACAGAAGCAAGTCGTCGGAGAACGGTGTTGGGTACGTGTTGCAGACCTCGACTACTGAGCACGTTGGATGGGGTCCCACTGAGACGAACGGCTTGTTGAAGTCGTTCGACGAGGGCACTATTGGTTTTCAATTCCCTGAGGAAGTCCAGTTCCAGTGAGGCCTAAGACAGTGAGATGTATACAATTAGAGGCGATAATCACGATCCACTGGAACTCAGTATCGAGTAAATAGTGGATGAAATCCGGGAACCAACGCACAATTTCTTCAACCAGAGGAAACGCTTGAGATAATTCATTTTTAATCACTGGTATCATTTTTACCGTTGAAAACAAATGGTAGGCAAATGTGCTGGTTTCGATGTTTGTGATTCCACGACTTATCCTGTGACAGTTGGAGAGAAGTTAGGTGCAGAGTTTTAGGTAACCGCGGTCGCCCATTGTAGCAAATGGTGGACCTCCATGGACTATGTTGGTTGGGGCACATGTTGCGTCCGTCACCAGGTGAGGGGTGGAAAAATGTAAAGCGGTCAAACTGAGTGCTCGAAAATTCTTTTCAGCAGACTTGCTCACATAAGTAGCGTTAAGCTTCCTGGATAGGGACATTCGGATTATTGTAATAAATGGTTAAAGACACTCAGTGTCGTAAACAGTGCCGCTTGTGCGTCTATTCATTTTCCTTAGCCTACGTGAATTCCCTATTTTTACCCTCACACTGCTCTCAACATTCCAATCTGCCCTTTACTCCTTCATCCAAATGGGCAGTCATGAGAGAGCAACCGAAACCAGCGCACGAAAGTGCATGGTTCATTGTTGTAAGAAATGAACTGAACCCGCGACAGTCGAGATAGGTGGAACTGATTCCTGGTCACCGAAAACCGAACAAGGGATATTTAGCATTCAAGCTCGCAGATACACTTTGAAATTCCGGAGGAATGCTTGCTTTATTCAATTCAAACAATATCACGAAGGAACTGCTTCTTGATGTACTGTGTCTGCTTGTACATTTTTATGACCCCAAAAAATCAGTTCTGAAAGTTGGGAGCTCCGCTGGAGTTAGCACCTTAGTTGTCAAAATCAACGGAAGATGGGTCGATCCTTGCGGATAGGCATCCGCTTTGCCCGACAGTTATGATGTAGCCAGAACTAAAGATTCTTAGTGAGAACCATAATCGTTCTCCCCGCCAGTGATTGGATGAACTAGCAGTACCCGTACACGAGGCAAAACGCTTCATTACAACGGATAAATAATGACGCCAACATACTCTAGATCGTACGATTTTTGTCCAGTCACCCAGTGCATATGTGCATTTTTGAGTTCAGTATCACGTTTAACGTTAAAAGGAGATCATGATGATGCTTATTTGTTCGTCAACTGCTCTTTTAGTACTCGCCGAAACGTAAACTTAACACGACATCCTTCGTAAACCACCAGCTTCCGAGAAAACTCGTCAACATAAAATAGTCTTTGAAATAATCCGTGCCGCAAACAAATCGTGGCATATGGTTTCGAATTACACGTCAAATTTTGCCGCGCACCACTATCCAAACTTTACTGAACACTAACGTCACCCTTTCCGTGTACTTTGCGAAATGCTCCCATACGACCAAGCGTCTCAAACAGTCTCTGCTGAGGAAGCCCTACTCAATGCCTTCTCGCGGCGGAGGTGTTTTCCCGCCAAAGTGAGAGGACGAAAAGCCGACACGGGGCTATACCCGGGTTGGTGGACTACTGGTAGTTCACCTAGGAGGGTTGGCCAAAAGCCCTGATTCCAAACCAAACAAGGTGAGGTGTACGAACCACACTCACACCTTTCCGGTTGTGGCAGTGGTCACCTGCTCGATTGGGATTTGAGGTGTATTGAGCATCTCGGACATTGGACCCCGTCCAAAGGGCGTATGATCCGATGAACTGGACACCGGCTTCCAATGGATTGCGGTTTTCATACCGCTCTGCTGCCTTGCGGGTCAGGCTTTGGCTAGCCGAAGG